ACTGATGATACTGGGGTATTTAAGGGATGGCCAGACTTGCAGACTCTGCCTTGGTGTTGTGTTTCTCTTGGCCCTGTATCCTGTTTCCTGCTACCTGTTCCTGTCTGATTCTCTGCTACCTGTCCTGATCCCTGGCTTGTGACCCTGACCATCTCTCTGCTTGACCCTCTGTACTACGCTGCTTGCTACCTGCTGAACCTGGCCTGTGACCCGACCATTCTCTGCTTGCTCCCCCTGTACCTACCTGCCCATTGATATTGACCCGGCCTGCCTGACGACGCTTGCTTGTATATACTGTTATCTGTGGGTGGTTGGTTTGGTTTGGTTGCACTGTGTTATGTTTTAGTATTGCACTGCGTTTATGTTTGTATTGTTAGTGTTAATAAATTGTATTGTTTATCACATATCTGAAGCTGCGTTTCCCTGCATCAGTCACACACCTCTGGTCATACCTGGGAGCCCTGACACCCTGAGTAACGATTCTGTGTCCCTGAGTAATGATTCTGTGGCCCTAAAGTCTCTGTGGCCCTAACTCTGTCCCTCAATACACAGAGGTCTGTCTCTCTTGAATGACCGGAGGCTAATGGAGAATTCTAAGATGGCCGCGATTTATAGCTCCACCATTACACAGTGCTGGCTGGCTGGCTGCTGATTGGCTAATGCGATCACATGTCATGATTCATAACTCATGAATGCATTATGGGTCAGCGCGCCTTGTCTGCGCGCCTTCCCAGAGATCCCCGCCCCATCTTCTCTGTCCATTTTCTCCTGTCGTCACACATGTCGCCGCCATTTTTGGGAAAATTCGATTCGTGCATCCGAAGTTTGCTAATCTTCGGATTCGTCGCGAATAGAATTTTTCCAAATCTTCGGAACGAATTCCACTTCGTCATGTTCGATTCGCTCATCTCTACTGATCACCACAACACCAGTTATATGATGACGCTGTACAGTGTGTAAAAAAAATTGTGAACATTTTTTTAATTTCTTCATTTTCCAAAAAATTATGACAAAAAAATTACAACTTCAAAAAATTCACCATGCCTCTTATAAAATACGTTCGACTGTCTACTTTGCAAAAAGGGGTAATTTGGGGGATATCTGTACTGTTCTGACATTTTTGGGCCTCAAGTAATTAGATTGGCGGTCAGTACTTCAGGATTGATCCATTTTCAGATATATCCCATAGTTTGTGAACTCTATAAAGTGGCCGGTATTAAAGTGGTTAACCTGTGCTTGCGTTGGTTTCCTCCAGGTACACTGGCTCCCTACCACACTCCAAAAACATGCTGGCATGTTAAAGTGGAACTTTACTTAAGAAAAAAGTAAATGTGAACAGACTAGCTTTTTAATGCAAAAGAAAAATACTATGGGTGTTATTTACTAAAACTGGTGCAGCTCTGCACAGAAACCAATCAGATTCCAAGTTTTCATGTCAATGCTTAATTGAACAAGCTGAAGTTAGAAGCTGATTGGCTACCATGCACAGCTGCACCAGATTCTGAGTGCTCCAGTTTTAGCAAATTCACGCCTATGTCTCTTCTGTATTAAAGTATTTTTACCTACTTGTAAATGTACTCCAAGCTGCACATGTGCAATTTGGACATTTGCCAAGATGAATGAACTCCCACACATATGTCATTTTGCCCTGGTCAAATAAAAGAGTTGAAAGTTGGTACCCTGAAAATGTAATTGGCCAGCAAGGGAGCTCCTGGACTCTGCATAGTTGGATGTTAGCGGTAAGTACTGTTCCGATTTAACCACTTGCCCTCCGGAAGTTTTACCCCCCCCCCTTCTTGACCAGGCCATTTTTTGCGATATGGCGCTGTGTTACTTGTGTGAACTGACAATTGCACGGTCATGCAATGCTGTACATAAATGAAGTTTATGTAATTTTTCTCCCACGAATAGAGCTTTTTCGGTGGTATTTGATCACCTCTGCGTATTTTATTTTTTGTGCTATAAACAAAACAAACTGACAATTTTGAAAAAATATATATTTTTGACTTTTTGCTATAAAACATATCCAATAAAAAAATGAAAAAAATAAAATGTCTTCATAGATTTAGGTCAAAATGAATTCTGTAACATGTCTTTGCTAACAGAAATCCCAATAAGTGTATATTAATTAGTTTACATGAACGTTATAGCGGGACTGTGGGACTGCGGCGGGCATCCTGACACTGGATGGGAACTGACTAACTGCCACTGACATCTCCTATGACACTAATACAGTGATCAGTGCTAATGAAAAGCACTGACACTGTACTAATGACACTGGGTAGGAAGGGGTTAACATCTGGGGCAATCAAAGGGTTAACTGTGTGTTAGGGAGTGTTTTTACTGTGTACTATGTGCAGTTTTACTAAGGAGACCCGCTGCTTTCTATCTCTCTGCTATGCAGAGAGATAGAAAGCAGCACGTCCATGCTGACAGGAGAGAGACCCGTGTTATTTACACACAGATCTGTCCCCTCTTAGCTTTGCCGGCAACCACCACTGAGTCCTGGTCAGGAATCGCTGGCTGTGACCCGGTTAATGACATCCTCAAAAGCCAATAGCAGCGCAGGTAGGGCAGCGCACGGGTGAGCTCTCTACCTGAAAATGCCCAATTGTGTATATTTACGTAATTTTGCACAGCGCAGCCGCTCTGAAGCAGTACATATGCTATGGGGCGGTGGGCAAGTGGCTGAAAGAGAAGTTCAGAAATTAAAAAAAAACAGCTATCATACTCACTTAGGTGAATGGAGGATCAGTCTATTGCTGCATCTGTCCCCTGCCACCTCTAAAACCGAGAGCTGACAGACTGAACATTCAGCTCTCGGTCTCCAGGCTGCAGAGAGCTAGGGTGACAGTCATTCTCCTGCTCTCTGCTCTGCCCCTCCAGCACTCACTGGAGTGCTGAAGGAGGTAGGAGCAGCTGGCTCAGGCTTTCAGAGGCTTGCTGAGAGGTTGAGCCATCTGCTGGTCCAGGTATCTGAGTGGATGGCAACTGTAAAGCCAGAATCTTTCTTGAGCCTGGACCAGCTGAGTGACGTCATCCATCAACAGGCTTTAGCCTGCTGTCGGTTGAAAAGAGCTTTGGCCATACTTCTCCTTTAATTAACTCATGTCTAAATTGGTCCTAGTATGTGTGCTTATACATGAGGGAGAGGGACCTTAGATTGTAAGATCCTTGAGGGCAGAGACTGATGTGAATATACAGTATGTAAAGGTTTGCATAATTTGTTGACTATGTATAAATACCTGTAATAAATAAATAAAGTAGTTTGCAGTACTATCTGCTTGAAGCTAGAGTGAAGATGCCGGGACAGAAGTTACATCTATGTTTTTCAAGGTTTTGTATGGTATATCAATGTAACGCCTATGTTTTTGCTTATATTGTAGCGAGGGGACAAATTCCCTGTGTTCAGTTCGCTGTCAAACATTCAAACCTTACGAATGTTCAACCGCGAACTTCGAACTTAATGCAAGTCCATGGGACTCGGACTTGTAAATTCAAAAGTGCCCATTTTGTACTTATATGCAAGTTACTGGCCATACAAGGGGTTTGGGGATTCGGGTACTGCCCTGAGGGACATGAATCAGTGAAAAAATAAAAATTTAAAAACCACAATTTGTAAAGGGGCAGTCATTTTTCATTTCTTAAAGTTTAAAAAAAAGAAAATAAAAATTCCTTTAAATATCATGCCTGGGGGGTCCCCTTAAACTACCTGCAAAGTTGAACATCTGTACAATATAGAACCTACTACAGCAAGACTGACATTTTTCTAAAAAATTACATTACAATATAAAAACACACAGTGTGGGGTCCCCACCCTAATCCTTACCAGACCCTTTAGGTCTGGTAGGAAGGTTAGGAGGGACCCACAGTAAGAAATATTGTGTGGGGTTGCCCCTAAAAGCCATATTAGGCCCTTTAGGACTTTTAAGGGGTACCCCACCCTGAAAAAATGAGAAGGAAGCATGGGGTCCCCTCCAAATTACTACCAGACCCTTGATCCGAGCACAGGCCTGGAAGGTCAGGAATGGCGGGGAATGAGCCAGTACCCGTGGCTTACCAGGCCACATGCCCTCAGGCCTGTTCCCCACAACCCTGGCCCAGTGGTTGTGGGGTCTGCTGGCAGGCGTGCAAAAAAAAAAACAGTTGCAGTGAATGCCCAGTAGATGGCTTCTTACGCAATACAATGATGATATACAATATACAGAACACTTCCTATAATTTGAAGGTCATGTTTAGAGATGAGCGAATTATTCAAAAATTCGATTCGGCTGATTCGGCGAATTCGCGGAATAAATTCGATTCGAGTCGAATATATTCGCTGCGAATTTAACTTATAAAAAGGGTGTTTCTAGGCTTCAGAGAGCCTTTTATATTAGTGCAGAACACTGTACCTTTAATTTAAATGCCCTTGGAGTCTGCTGGGGAAGAGAAATAATACTGTCAGTCAGTATGACATGCAGATGAGTGCCGTCGATCTTAGAATCACCGCACACTTCACTCATTTGGGCAGTCACGGGGCCAAAACCAGAGTGTGGAGCCACAGTGTGGCGGTGGAGGCAGCAGCAATGGGAGGCCATACAGCACCCTATGAAAAAATGGAACCCACCAGCAGTGTGAGGAGACCTGAAAGTGGCACATGGCAGAGTATGGCGATGGAGACAGCAGCAATGGGAGGCCATACAGGGACCCATGACACACTCTGGACCTGGCAGCAGCATGAGGAGGCGGTACAGGGGCCCATGACAGATTACGGGCCTGGCAGCAGCATGAGGAGTTGGTACGGGGGCCCATGGCAGATTACGGGCCTGGCAGCAGCAATGGGAGGCCATACAGCACCCTATGACAAAATGGAACCCACCAGCAGTGTGAGGAGACCTGAAAGTGGCACATGGCAGAGTGTGGCGATGGAGACAGCAGCAATGGGAGGCCGTACAGGGACCCATGACACACTCTGGACCTGGCAGCAGCATGAGGAGGCGTACAGGGGCCCATGACAGATTACGGGCCTGGCAGCAGCATGAGGAGTCGGTACGGGGGCCCATGGCAGATTACGGGCCTGGCAGCAGCAATGGGAGGCCGTACAGGGACCCATGACACACTCTGGACCTGGCAGCAGCATGAGGAGGCGGTACAGGGGCCCATGACAGATTACGGGCCTGGCAGCAGCATGAGGAGTCGGTACGGGGGCCCATGGCAGATTACGGGCCTGGCAGCAGCAATGGGAGGCCCGAAATCTGCCAGCACCCTATGACAAAATGGAACCCACCAGCAGTGTGAGGAGACCTGAAAGTGGCACATGGCAGAGTGTGGCGATGGAGACAGCAGCAATGGGAGGCCGTACAGGGACCCATGACACACTCTGGACCTGGCAGCAGCATGAGGAGGCGGTACAGGGGCCCATGACAGATTACGGTCCTGGCAGCAGCATGAGGAGTCGGTACGGGGGCCCATGGCAGATTACGGGCCTGGCAGCAGCAATGGGAGGCCATACAGCACCCTATGACAAAATGGAACCCACCAGCAGTGTGAGGAGACCTGAAAGTGGCACATGGCAGAGTGTGGCGATGGAGACAGCAGCAATGGGAGGCCGTACAGGGACCCATGACACACTCTGGACCTGGCAGCAGCATGAGGAGGCGGTACAGGGGCCCATGACAGATTACGGGCCTGGCAGCAGCAAGAGGAGTCGGTACGGGGGCCCATGGCAGATTACGGGCCTGGCAGCAGCAATGGGAGGCCCGTAATCTGCCAGCACCCTATGACAAAATGGAACCCACCAGCAGTGTGAGGAGACCTGAAAGTGGCACATGGCAGAGTGTGGCGATGGATTCCAAGAAAGACTGCTGACGGAATCCGTGAAGAGGAGTAGCAGGAGAAGGAGCATCTGATCGAGCGGAAGATGCCAACGAGCGACAACTCCCCTCAGCAGAGGTGTTGGAGCCTTGACTGGCTGATAGAGGGCGATTGACGTCGGGTGACGGAGCAAGTAACGGAGCGGGTGATGGAGCGGGGGCAGGGGCAGGCAGAACCGCCGTATCTTTATCACGGTTTTCCCAGGCCACCGAATGGCGACGCTGCATATGCTGACGCAACGCTGTAGTCCCAACATTGGCCCCCTGGCCACGCTTGACTTTCTGGCCACATAGTCGACATACGGCTACGTTTACTTCCTCGGGCGTCTTGACGAAAAATTGCCACACCGCCGAGTAGGAAACTTTGCCCCCGCTACTCCTCACTGGCTGACTGCTACTTCCTCCGTACACACCGGCACCACTACTGGCCGTGGTGGTAGGCTGCAGTGGAGCTGGTGCTCTACTCCGTGGCCGTTTGGCTCCACTGACCCTGCTGCGACCCTGCTGCCTCTGGGCAACCCACCGACTGTTTTGCTCGCTGGCAAGCTGGCACCCTCTTCTCCTGATGATGCGGAAGCAATAGCCTGATGACGACGAGGCTGCCAAGTGCGATCAGCCTCATCATCATCAATTAGGGTCTCCGCCTCACTACTAGCCCCCTCGGCTGCATGTGGGTCAGGAGACAGACCTGTCTCTAGACCGGCTACCGAGCCACTCTCCTCGCCAGTACTTCTTCGCCTGGCTGCTGAAGAGGCGGATTTCTCCCCCCGTTCTTGACCGCCCTCTGTTAGCTCTTCCTCACTGTACAGTGGGGCTGAGCCCACAGCATGCGATACTTCGCTTGGTGAGGGAACACCAAAGGACAGGGGCAGGTAGAGGACGAGTGATTTCAGTGGGCTTGCTCCCGGGCCATGCCAACTAACGGTTGTGTCTGACGTACCCACCGACCGTTGGCTGTAGGTGACAGAGGTGACCTGGGAAGAGGAAGACGACCGAGCCAACCAATCGATGACGGCAGGGTTGTCGGTGGAGACACGACCGCTGGATGACACCGGGAGCACTGGCCTCTGGCTGCGACTAGTGCTGCCTTGACCCCTTCCTCTGCTGCCACGTCTGCTCGCTCCTGAAACATTGCCTCCTCTGCCACTCCTCTGCGTGTTGTCTGACATACTCTTTAATTCAACGATTCTGTGTCCCTGAGTAATGATTCTGTGTCCCTGAGTAACAATTCTGTGTCCCTGAGTAACAATTCTGTGTCCCTCAGTAACGATTCTGTGTCCCTCAGTAACAATTCTGTGTCCCTGAGTAACGATTCTGTGTCCCTGAGTAACAATTCTGTGTCCCTGAGTAACGATTCTGTGTCCCTGAGTAACGATTCTGTGTCCCTGAGTAACGATTCTGTGTCCCTCAGTAACAATTCTGTGTCCCTGAGTAACAATTCTGTGTCCCTGAGTAACAATTCTGTGTCCCTCAGTAACAATTCTGTGTCCCTGAGTAACAATTCTGTGTCCCTGAGTAACGATTCTGTGTCCCTCAGTAACAATTCTGTGTCCCTGAGTAACAATTCTGTGTCCCTGAGTAACAATTCTGTGTCCCTGAGTAACGATTCTGTGTCCCTCAGTAATGATTCTGTGTCCCTGAGTAACGATTCTGTGTCCCTGAGTAACAATTCTGTGTCTGTCCCTGAGTAACAATTCTGTGTCCCTGAGTAACAATTCTGTGTCCCTCAGTAACGATTCTGTGTCCCTCAGTAACGATTTCTGTGTCCCTCAGTAACGATTCTGTGTCCCTGAGTAACAATTATGTGTCCCTGAGTAACAATTATGTGTCCCTGAGTAACAATTCTGTGTCCCTCAGTAACGATTCTGTGTCCCTCAGTAACGATTCTATGTCCCTGAGTAACGATTCTGTGTCCCTGAGTAACGATTCTGTGTCCCTGAGTAACGATTCTGTGTCCCTCAGTAACGATTCTGTGTCCCTCAGTAACGATTCTGTGTCCCTGAGTAACAATTCTGTGTCCCTGAGTAACAATTCTGTGTCCCTCAGTAACAATTCTGTGTCCCTCAGTAACGATTCTGTGTCCCTGAGTAACGATTCTGTGTCCCTGAGTAACAATTCTGTGTCCCTCAGTAACGATTCTGTGTCCCTGAGTAACAATTCTGTGTCCCTGAGTAACAATTCTGTGTCCCCGAGTAACAATTTTGTGTCCCTGAGTAACAATTGTCTGTCCCTGAGTAACAATTCTGTGTCCCTGAGTAACAATTCTGTGTCCCTGAGTAACGATTCTGTGTCCCTCAGTAACAATTCTGTGTCCCTGAGTAACAATTCTGTGTCCCTGAGTAACAATTCTGTGTCTGTCCCTGAGTAACAATTCTGTGTCCCTGAGTAACAATTCTGTGTCCCTGAGTAACGATTCTGTGTCCCTGAGTAACAATTCTGTGTCCCTGAGTAACAATTCTGTGTCCCTGAGTAATGATTTTGTGTCCCTCAGTAACAATTCTGTGTCCCTGAGTAACAATTCTGTGTCCCTGAGTAACAATTCTGTGTCTGTCCCTGAGTAACAATTCTGTGTCCCTGAGTAACAATTCTGTGTCCCTGAGTAACGATTCTGTGTCCCTGAGTAACAATTCTGTGTCCCTCAGTAACGATTCTGTGTCCCTCAGTAACGATTCTGTGTCCCTGAGTAATGATTCTGTGTCCCTGAGTAACAATTCTGTGTCCCTGAGTAACAATTCTGTGTCCCTGAGTAACGATTCTGTGTCCCTGAGTAACAATTCTGTGTCCCTGAGTAACGATTCTGTGTCCCTGAGTAACAATTCTGTGTCCCTGAGTAACGATTCTGTGTCCCTGAGTAACAATTCTGTGTCCCTGAGTAACAATTCTGTGTCTGTCCCTGAGTAACGATTCTGTGTCCCTGAGTAACAATTCTGTGTCCCTGAGTAACAATTCTGTGTCCCTGAGTAACGATTCTGTGTCCCTAAGTAACGATTCTGTGGCCCTAAAGTCTCTCTGGCCCTAACTCTGTCCCTAATACAGACAGGTCTGTCTCTCTTGAATGACCGGAGGCTAATGGAGAATTGTAAGATGGCCGCAATTTATAGCTCCACCATTACACAGTGCTGGCTGGCTGGCTGCTGATTGGTTAATGCGATCACATGTCATGAATGAATGCATTATGGGTCAGCGCGCCTTGTCTGCGCGCCTTCCCAGAGAGATCCCCGCTCCGTCGCCACACATGTCGCCGCCATTTTTGGGAAAATTCGATTCGTGCATCCGAAGTGTGCTAATTTTCGGATTCGGCGCGAATCGAATTTTTCCTGATCTTCGAAAACAAATTCCACTTCGCCATGTTTGATTCGCTCATCTCTAGTCATGTTATCTGGTGGGTATGATTCTAATGAGGAGGTGGTTCATATGGTGATTCTCACTTAAAGAAGAAATTGAGCACTTCAAGCCACATACACAATATTTTGGACACTTTATGATTCATAAGGACTATTTTATTTATTTTACAGGTTTCTTTCTTTTCATTCCACTAGATGGACATGTATTACAAAGAAGCACTGCTTATTTATTGGTTTATTTAAAGTACGGAATGATGTTTTGATGTTATCACTCAAGCAGGACCCTTGTTTAGTGCCAATCAACACTTCTCCTAAAGCCCAAAGGATGGTTTATGTATTAAGTATTGCAGAGAAGTGTATCCAAGCAGTTCCGAACAGCCTATACATATCTCAAAGGAGAGAAAAGCAGTATGTTCTGGAACATCTTTATCCATCTGATTACTTTCTTTAAAGCTAATTTTTCTACTTCAGATGTTCCTATTGTGTTATTCATAATTTTACCATTATATTTCTTGCATTTGTAATTTAGTGTTTATATTTTGGGATTAAAAAAAATGTTAGTCAATATAAAATATTAGATTAGATTTAAAAGCCTTATTTACATGGTCATAAAAAAATGCATTTCCAAGCAATTTATATTTATAGATCTGAACACAGCTGCATTGTTTTCAATGGAGACATTCACAAAAGGTGCATAAACATACGCTGCATTCAAATCAGTAACACAAAATTAAAAAAAGCACTGACACAGTACTAATGGCACTGGGCAGGAAGGGGTTAACATAAGGGGCAATCAAAGGGTTAACGGTGAGCTGGGAGTGTGTTTTACTGGGGGGCGGTGTGTTGGTGCTTCACTATAAGCACACTGCTCGGGATGGCTGTACTGTGCACAGCCATCCAGAGCAGTGTGCCCGAGCCAACAGGGAGGAGGACTGTTAGTAAACAAAGCAGCCCTCCTCCCCATCAGAGATCCTCGGTAATCACCGTGCGCCGGTGGGTAATCACTGGCCGGGACATGGTGATTGACAGCCGCAGTCGCGAATGGTGGCTCGCACGTGCCCCCTATCCGAAAATACAAAAACATGTATATATACGCGATTTTGTGCACCCCTGCTGCCCTGTAGTAGTATTTCTGCTATAGGGCGGTGGTGAAGCGGTTAAAAAATGGTTACATCGTAATCCGTCGTCAATCACGGCATCCAGCGTTGTCACGACACTGCCGCATTGCTAAAATTAAACAAAACGATGCCTGCTGACCCGTCCGCACTTACCGAGCACTCACCGCAATCTGACAGGTCTGATAGTTGCCAGTCAGATGTAAACAATTGGGCAGGGCTAGCAGTGACGTCACCACTAGCTCTGCCCAATTGTGTTGTGATTGGACAAAGCATTGCACCTGACCTGTGGTCATGTGCATTGCTTTAGCCAATCACAATGCACTGTGAGAGATCAGTGCATTGTTGGGTGTGTTGGGCGAACAGCCTGCTGAACACCTGTACCGTTTGTG